ACAACTTACTACCCCTGTCCTTTACCTCTGCTTTCCCCAAATCACAGTCTCTCTACATACATACCGTTTTGACATCCAAGCTTTCACATTTCTCCGGAGGACTTTTGGTTTGACATAATTACACTATAGTCTTGCCACTTTTTCTGTGCAATAAACAAATGTATCCAGACGTAATTTTCTTTTAAAGACAGACCCAAGTCCATTTTCAGAGAAATATGAAGTACTGAAGCCTAAATGAAAATTCAGGAAGACAGTACCTGTGAAAGTGATAAAATTCTGTTAAATACCATCATAGCTGGCTGATATTCAGAAGTACATCATCTGGGGAGTTGATGTGATATCATTATCTATGTATCTACCTACCTACCTACCTACATTTCCTCTGCTCTAAATCTAAACGTGCAAAGATCAAAATAAATGCTAGCCACTTGGATATTAAATTTTCATTTCTAACTATTAAGTTTGCTGTTGATTCTACCTGAAAACTTGCCAGTTTAACTGTTCTATAGTTAAGCATAACCTGAAGGACTTTCCTAACTTAGCATTTTCTTAATTGTCTTAGACAGACATTCTCTTGCAGGGAGTTGGAATTAGAAGCTCTTTAAAATCCCTTCCAACACAAACTATTCTGTGATTCTCTGATTCAGGTTGCTGTGTCTTGTGCATAAAAGCTGCTTTAACATGCCAAGTTATTAATTTTTTAGATGTTAAGATGCTTTCCCATTAGAACATAACTTAATTTATGTCTCTGGAAACAGAAAGAACTATCATGGTGCACTGGAGCCAAAGTGACCACTGGCAACCAACAGAGTATCAGGGATGCTACTCTTCAAGTAAAGCTCACCTCTGAACACAGCCAACAGTGCCATCTGCTGCAGACTGCAGCATTGGCTTATTGTGGGAACACACAGGGAGAGAGACCAGGTTCTTGAAGAACCCATCTCTGAAGGCCTTACATCATCTAAAGAGCAGAAGTGGCCACCAAAACCCCACAAGCAATATTCCCACGGTTAGAAGATGGGAGAGTTCTGATATGATCCACACTCATGCCAGTAAGATGAGGAAGTTTAGGAGATAAACCCTCAGTTCCAGTTACATCTTCATGCCTTTCTAGAAGTGGAAAAATATTATTTTATGGAAAATATTTCATTTAACATATTAATCCCTACTCTCTGGGCCTGTTTCCATCATCTCTGGACACATTCTCAGATTCCTGAGGCTACACAGGTAAATCCAGAGCTCTTTAGGGCAATCTGTGCATATCAGGGTCTTTTTAAGACATGTGGGGCTGTTCCCACCAGTTCAGAACAACCCTTCAGCAGAGTCAGGAGCTTCACCCAGGTCCTTGGCAGAGGAGCTGCTAGGGGCTCTCACTCCATGCAGCACATACACTGGAGCAGGCTGAGAATGAGAGGGAGGGAGGGAGGGAGGAAGGAAGGGAAGGAGGGGGCCAAAGCAGGTAAAGAAAAAGAGAAGGAAAAGATCACTTTAAAACTCTGGGAAGAGGAATCAAAGAAAGAAAATGCAGAGCCCACTGTGTTTCTGCCCAGACAACTGTTGCCTCTTCAGAGCTATGTTTGCAAATAAGGTGTATTCTGTCACAGTTTAGGCTTAAGTCTCTCATAAACAATTTTAAAAAGCAAAACCAGCAATGCAATAAATTTGTGTCAAGACTTTTTTTTCCAGCAAGCACTGTTACCTCTTTCCCTTAGTGAAACATTCCTATCTTAAAGATAAAAATTTACCTTTTTTCATATTATTGTTTCTGAGAAGAATCTGTCAATAACAGAATGTGGAAGAATTTGTAGGGGAAGATGAATTCATTTCCTCTCAGCACTCAGAGAGGACGGGAAGTTTCTGTGGATCTAGGTAACTTCTTTCACTGGTTAAAGCTTGCTGAGACAACTGCTCGTGGAATTTCAGTTTCTACCTAGATCCCAGAACAGATCCATATTAAAAATAAGCCTTACTGTAGAAATAAACCAGTGAATAAAACAATATATAAAACTGGGTCAGCTTCTCTCTGGGCTCCATGCACAGAAGACAGGAAGGTTTTGGAATGTTTTCCCCAGCAGCTGGAAGCAAGCATTCATTTAGGACTAATTCCCCAAACCTGGAATGGTTTCAAAATCTGAGCTTCAGCAGAGAAATCTTGGAAAATGCCAAGTCAGGAGTGCTCTGGAGTGGTGTTGGGTGTAGGAAGATTTTTATTTGGTCAAGAGAAGCCAGTTCCATGCATTCTCTGATGAACTGAGCACAGAATCACTCATTCAGCAAGATTTAGGTAACACTGAGTAAGCAGGAAGATGCAGTAGTTTCACATGTCACTTGTAAAAAACTAACTGAAATCAGGCAAAGTTATGGACAAAACCCACATACACATTCCCAGAAAGCAGATGATTTTTGGCTGAAGGTAAATCCAATGGTAATGAATTCCCCTGCTAATATAAAATGTCAGAGCATAAGGTCTAAATACCACCTCACTGCAGTTATGGCACAGGTTACCTTTCCACAATTTCTAAGGATAATAAGGAACCTCTTTGGAACAGTACTACTGTCCATTCAACTGCTTCTTTAGAAGATGGTGTGTTTCTGCTTCTTCATTTTCCATGCTGGGAGTGACAATATAAAATGGAGGCTTTCTTTAGAGCAAGGAGATTAAGAGGCTTCTTTTGGGAGATGAATTTGAAGTAAACCACAGTTCATCTAACAGCATGTAAGTACACTTCTGCTGCCCTGGACAGTAACTACAGTAACCTCACATGCTCAACTCCTTGGCTGTGAAGTGAGATTTCTGTACCATAAGATGAGGGTATGTTTACAAAGGCAAATATGTGTGAAGAGACTCAGTTCTTTTAAATTAAAATCACTGTCAAAGGTTCTCTGACAGGCTCAGACAGCAATACAAAACTGCCTAGACTTTGGGTTGAGAGCATTTGATAAAACATGTGAGTGGCCACAGGTTCCTGTCTGTCCCTCACACCCCCATTCTTCATATTACACTACAGACTTAGCTACAAGAACATGACTCAGAGTTACTATTAACCTCATTGTAACAACACACTTTTTTCCTGGGTTCCAACAGTCCTGACACTATTAGGTCAGTGGAAAAGATTCCTGCTTGTGCAAACAGCCTGTGCTTGCCTCTAGGGATAAAGGTAACTTACAACACAACTGCATCGATGTGACAGCAGCGGTTGTGATGCTGCCACAGAGCAGATGGAAGCAGTTTTGCTGTGGAGAATGTTGCTTAAGGTCTTTTTACATAGAGGAAAAGTGGAAATCACAAGTGATCATATCACAGGCTTGTCCTTATCCAAAGTTATTACTGAAGTACCAGTTCATTACAGCGTTCCAGCACAGATGAAGACAGTAAAATTAAGGTACAAACCACATGCTTTTATCTGCTTGTACCCTCGTCTCTGCTCCTTAAGGCAAGAGAACAGAAAAATATTGCTTTGTTAGTCATTCTAGAAAATGCCAGCCAAATCCAAGAGGCATATTTATGACATTACACAGAGGTCAAAAGTCAGAGTCTTTGAGACCTAATGGCTGCTGTGTACTTGGATTTTCCTCTATTTGGAGGTACTAGTGAGACTATGTGTCAGCTTGCACCATAATCCCATCCCCATTCTCTAAGTTTTGGAATGTATATAAACAGAATACATGTCTCCATGCCTGCCCTACTGTCTCATGCAGCTGTTGACATGTTCTCTCAATGTTTATGTGTAAAAACAAGAGTGCTGGAAAACAACCTCTTGGGAAAACACTGAGGATTGTTCTCCAGCCTGGGGGTGCTCCACCAAGAACAGTCAACTCTTTGTCAGGGACATCAGCTGGACATATACAAACTCACTGGGGGTTTGTTCTGGGCCTCTCTGTTTCAGAAACCAAATGAGAATCCACTGTGGGCTTGTCTTTATCTACAGAGTTATTGCCCCCCCTTCCAAGATAATACTTCTCAGTGCTCACCGCTGGGGTAAATTTGTGAAGACTTGCCAAACTATTGTTGCTGATTGTTTTTCATATGGCCTTTTCTACGCTGAAGGTGCTCAAAAACATTTCCATCCCTGGGGTGACAGGGTAAGGTGACAGCTCACCTTACACCAGCCCATGCCTTTCCATGCCTGTACTCCCGAGCAAAGACCAAGCAGCTTCTGCTCCTCCAAACACCCTCCCGATGTTCCTGTTTGACCCAAGCAGAGCACAAGTAAAATGGAGAAATCTTTTACTCCATAAAATAAAAAGCACAAAGCATGTAGAGAACTGGTTACACATTTCAGGTCTCAGCCTGTTTGAATAAACTCCAGTAGCAAATGACTGCAACACCACCCTCTTCTGTGGCTCTGGAGAGATTTGTGGCTTTAGAGATATATTCACAATTGCTATTTGGCATGGTTTTACTTCCCTTTTCAGAACAGGAGCCTATCACATAGCATCCTGATGAAGTTCCCAGCAAGCAAAGTGGGTTTCCTGTTAAAAGTCATTCCTAGCTATTGATGTCAAATGTCCCTGAGAGCTCAGCTGAATTTGGCTGCAAGGAATTTGCACAAACCATGACAAACTGAGAGGTGTTCTCAGAATACAAACTGTGGAGTTTAATCTGCTCTATTGTGCTGGTACCAAACTATGTCTGGAGCTGCAGCTGGCTAAATGAAGAGCCCAGCTTCGCTGTGTGTATTATAAGCAGGACAGGATTTCACAATAGCTTTGTATAACCCCTTTGTGCAGATATCCAAGGGCTAAGAGGGCTGATTAACCTCAAATGCCGCTCACAACAGCCAGCCATCAGAGAACACTGTCTGTCTTTCATAACATGCCAGCAAAAATCTCGTGAGGATGGTCTCAGCAGAGTGTGCAGCCAGATTTCTACCTACCTTTCACCCCTGTGGTAAAAAGGAAAAGCTGGCATTCTGTATAGTACCACTCTCCCGTAATCCAAGTGGGGTGGGGGGAAGAGACACGTTATTGATGTGAAATCCTTTCTCCCAAAGCACAAAACCTGCCACTGACCCTGTCATAAGCGGGCACACAGCCATGGCAAACAGGGGAAGTTACACAAGGGTGCAAAACTGTTTATGGAGCCAGATCACACACTAGTCCCAGTGTTGCCTTGTGGGTAGTAGGTGGGGCTTCTGGCATTTGCGTGGGGGCTCTCCAATGAGACCCAGAGCAGGATAAGGCTCCAGCCTTCTGGTTTTCATAACAGAAGCTCCCTCCAGTAGGGTTGAGGCATGGGAGGAGCTTGCCCAAACTCAAATAAACACTGACATGCAGCATCTTCTGAGGATGTGCAGCCTCCACAGGACACACTACAACAGCTAGAAGGACAAGGACAGCTGAAACGTAAGTATGTCTACCTTCTCCACTTCCTTAATAGCACGAGTAGTTTGTGGAGTGGCAGTTCTGGCTACACTTACTTGTTCTGCCTGTCCCTTTTGCCCATGTGCCAGAAAAAAACTAAACACCCTATAAACGTATTTATATGAATAGATGGTCATTTCAAAGTTCAGCCTTCCTGTACATTTAAGAAAATTCAACTGTATCTGGAGGATTCTTGTGTATGTCTCTCCCATCCCAAGGCATTGTTTTATATAATTTAAAAAAAAATATTTCTAACGTGAAGTCACTGACAGTACTGGCCATAAAGTTACAAAATCCAGAGCTGTGAGGTCTACCCAGTAGTTAAGGAAAGGTATGTTGGGAAGCAGCTGGAATTAGCCAGTAAAGAGAAACCAGCTTGTGCAGTAGCTAATACAGGTGTTAAGCAGCTTCTTTGTCTCTGAAGTGGCAATAAATTGTTGTAGGAAATTTCAGCATAATTGCTCGTATTTGCTTCTAATTATATGGATTGCTGCTTTATGATGCTTTGTTGATTTGTAAACATTATGGAAAAAATCTATTAATAAAGTACAACTGTGCAGCAGTCCCTGGTGACCACCATTCCTGTTAGGTCTGCTGGAAACTATGGACCTTCAGGCTGGGACAGGGAAGGGAAGGGAACAGCAGCACCTGCCTTTACTACTGGCAGCTGTATCCAGCTGTTTGATACTGACCTTCAGTGACAACTGCTGGAAAAAGCTCAACACTTAAGTGGCTCCACATACTACGTTTTTTACAGACTCTAAAGGAACCCAGTAGCACCAGCATTTGTGGCCTTTTTTTTGGTGTGTTTTTATTAAAAACTTTTCGACCTCAGATCCCAAGAACTCTTTATAGCCACCTCTAGCAGGGAACAGAAAGAGATAAACAGAATTCAACAGTAGTCCAAATATTGCAAGAAGATCGAACAGCCAAGACAGTAGTTAAGTAGTACAAGGTAACTGATTTTACAAAACTCACGTTGTTACTCAAAAAATTGCTAATTAAGTTGTAGTCTGAGAAGACAACATTCTATGACCTAAGAATCCAGATAATCATTGAATTATGTGCTCTTTGCAACATGAAGTGCAAAGGACATCGTAATGTAACAGAAGGCAAAGACTGTCAGAATGCAGGTCAGAGACCACAGTCTGCCTAGTTAACAACACAAGTCATATATAGAGGACACTAAAATCTCAGCATTTAACCAGATCTGACTATTTCAAGAGTGATTTTGAATATTTTCACTTGCTTTGTTTGGGACAACTTTAAGTTTTCACCTTTTTTCCTCCCATGTGAAGGGTATGGAGAAAAATAGCAATTCATTCGGAAATGCAAAAAATCTTATTTATCCACAGGCTAAAGGCCTTTAAGAAAGTCATCAGCTATCATGAGACACCAAATAAAGCTAAGGGCACAGTCAACACCAGATCATCCACCACACCACTACTGCTTTTTCAACCAGGAGCAAACAGAGTGAAGTCCTTTTGACCTATGGATTTCCACAAAACTCCCACTTGCAGAATCTCACTTTGCTGTCAGGAAATACCTTTTTGTCACAGAAAAGCAAGGGCAGTGTATCCTGGAAGAACACTTTCTCCAGTACAGGTAGTTTCTTGGTCCTGGTACTCTGTTTCTGCAGGGCTAAGTGGCTTCCAGCCTTTTTTCAGGCCTCCCACCAGTTCAGCAACAACTGAAATGCCCTAGTGTCATGTTAATTTAAGAGATGCCAATGAACTGTGTCTGCCTTCCAGCTCCGGCAAGATGATCAAGTCCTTCAAGCAAACATTTCTGTCCCTGGACCTGCAGTCTCCTCGCTGGAGCTCAGTAGAGGCAATGGTAACTGCAATAATACTTGCACACTGATTTGGAAAAAGTAGCTACTAATTTCTGTCAACACCCATCTCATGGGTACTGTGACTTTCGCTACCTTTCAGGCAAAGGACTATGAACTGCGTCAGTACGAGACAGCAAAGTGGGTCAGCACAGTCATCAGGGGAGAAACCCAGAAGGAAGCAATGCGCCAGGGCTTCTGGAAACTCTTCCACTACATCCAGGGAAAGAATGAAAAAGGTAGGACATGCTGGCTTGTAATGGAAAGAATTACAACCTGTAAACACAAATAAGGAACAAGAGAGGAGCTAGGAGATGCAGCTTAGACATCTGGTTTTCCTTTCCTCTAGAAGTGAAGATTGATATGACTGTGCCAGTGACCTGCCTGGTAAAATCAGGCTGCACAGACTTCAAGATCTCTTTCTTTGTGCCATTTGAACACCAGGACTGTCCCCCTCAGCCCACTGACTCAGATGTGTTCATTGAGGAACGGAAGGCAGCAGCTCTCTTTGTCAGGTAAGCAAAACCAGCACAGCTGACACCAGATCAATCCAGGTCAGTAGCTGCCCTCATTTAGGTGTGGGCTATACTTTCATAAGAGATGATAAAGTGTGGATAGACCCTGCTGTTCACAGCTTTAATTGCTAAAACCCAACCCCTTAGGAAATCTAATGAGCAAATTGCCAAACACTATTTTTAGAAGACACTTGAAAACTGCATTGAGTTTCACAGATGCAACGTCCCAAATCGTCTTCTGAAGACCATTTATTTTCCAGAATATGTAAACCACGCTCCCAGCATTTTTTATTTGTAGTCCTGAACTGCCACAACACATTCAGGGCAGTTGTTACTTGGGTGCTTATTTTAAATCTTACCTTTGAAAACAGCATGAAGACCCATGCTGCTCGACTGCTAGTTCTGCATGGGCAATCTACAACCTGCAGCACAAGTGCTCAAACTTGCTTTGCAAGTCTAAAGTTTCTGTCTGTGAAAAAGCCGGGAGGCTTGAACCAAAAAACCCCTCCCTTCTATTTTTCACCAGGTCCTTCGGTGGCTTTGCCTCTCCAGAGAAATATGCTGAGGAAGCTGATGCCTTGGCCAGAACCTTAAGAAACAGAGGCCAGCCATTCCACGAAGACTTCTTCTATACTGCAGGCTACGACAGTCCCTTCAAGCTCTTTAACAGGCATAATGAAGTGTGGTATTTTAAAAAGTAACATGAGGGGTGAATATTAAGAGGCTACTAATCAGCTCTGGATGAAAGCAGGCCTTATTATTGGCTTTTGTTTTGGTGCAGGAAAGATTTAACTCGCATGTGGACACAATGCCTAAATTTATTTTCTCTAGGATGAAGCATTGTTCTGGATAAAAACACTTCAGAATGTAATTCAAGATCACACCAGGTGGAGTGGGCAGGAAACAAACTTAGTCCTCTTATTGAAAAGTTCTAAGCAACACTAATAATCTGAAAATAATCCTGCTTAAATTTAGGTATGTAGCTTTACTTCTCACTGGAAGTGCTACAGCACTAGTTTTAATGTTATGGAAAGAGTCCTTCATAGCTTTTTGTACTGACATCACTCTGGAGACCAGGGAGGAATTTAAATTAATTTTTCAGAGATGCAAATTTCCATTAAGGAGCATTAAAAAGCAGTAGCATCTTAGCAGGCCTCAGTGACTTACCAACAGCAACTGTTGTTAATTAATATTATCAAAATCTCCCATCTCTCCAACTTTTTTCCCTCGTGAAGGCTACATGTTTTGTTGTTTAAATCCAGAACCCTGGGGAAAGGGTCATCAAGTCCAAGCCGTGCACTTGTTCTGAGAACATCTGCACTTGAACAAGCAATACCAGGATTACTGGTGGACTATTATTTTAGCAGCAAATTTACAAGTAGTAAGTTTAGCTCTCACCTTAAGCGCTTGAAATACTCCTTAAGTTACTCAGCTTTGTCTAAATATGGTCACCTGCAGCCTGCACACCAGCAGTATTTGACACCTCAGTTAAGACACCTGCAGGACTAGCTTTAGTCCATGCTTTCAAGCAAGCATTTTAATTCTTAATATAGCAGCAGCCTGAAGGTGTTTCACATCAAGTAGTTCCAGCAGAAAGGAGCTCATAACACCAGGCAGAGTTTGCAGATTTTTATTGTCTCCAATCAGCATCAGGCAAACATTACCAGTGAAGTAAAAACACATCAGCTTTTTTAATGCTGTTCATGCATGTAACCCATTCATCAGCAATCTTCCACCTATGAAAACAGACATAAGAACCGTTTTAAGATACCAAACCAGCACAACACACTTGATGGGAACATCTCAGACCTTAGAATTTCATCTCTGTTCAGTGAGAGAGTTCAAGCTAAGGTTTCATCATCTGTTCCACCAGATACGTTATTACAGCAGTTACACTCACCTTCTCAGTTCTTCATATGCTGGTTTCAGAGTTGCCTCTTCACCTAAATCAAGAGAACAGTTAGTATATGCAGCAGCACAACTGCTAAAAAGCTCCACAAGAGCCTTGTAACCTCAGAAAGATAAGGAACGGAAAGGGTAATATCACAGTAACTCATTTGGCAGAATCAATTGCATCAGTGGCTACAAGTATTTCCAGAAGTTTTTAATACAATTCCATCTGTTGTGGGGACTTACCCAGTGAGCTGCAGACAGCACAGTCCCTTCCTGAGAAAGAGAGAAGTACTTTCAGAATAACAGACAGCAGCACTATATGCAAGGTTTATCTGTGAATTTCTGTTCACCAAACTTTTATCTAAAAGGAAACTGACTTTTAGCTGGCATCTTACAAGTTCAACTTACAATACCTAAATAGGATACACAAAGCTTACAAATCCTAACTTAACTGGAAATACAGAATTACTAACATTGGAAGAATCAGGGAAAAGTAAAAAGCTACTACTTTGCTTTGTGATACTGTCTCTCCCAACAGTGTTGTATTTCATGATTTTTAAATACCTAAAATACAAGTCCCATAGGTTTTCAAGATGGCTTCTATCTTTGAAAGTGTTTGGAGTGTTCCAGTTTGTTTGAAAACAAGTTTCTACAGCAATCATCTAGAACTTCAGCTAAATTTCTGCAGACCCAATATAAAGATTAGTAGTAACAACTGCTGAAAAGTGACAGCCACAACACAAGGTTTTTTTAATTTTAATTCCAGAGTGTTACAGTAGTACCAACAGAATAGCCATATACAGTAAAGGGAAGACAAATCAGGTATTTTATAGGACTAATTTTAGGCATCAATATTTAAGCATTCAGCAAAAGGACAATACACCAGGAATTTATAAACCCCATGTATTCTACACTTACCTCAGACACATCCATCTTTTTTTTTAAACTCCACAAAAGCTTCACCCTGTAAAGAAGTGAAATTGTACTAACACACTTTCGGCAGTGGTTTGATAGTGTGAATGTGGGTACTGTTTCAGCAAAAGAGAGCTCTCCTCAGCCTCTTTCAGAGAGATTCCCATTGTTTAGAATTCATCACGAACAGTACATGCCAAGAGCAGCTTCATGTTGTATCTCGTTTGTCCTTTAAAGGGGCATCTGACCTTACTCCCAACCACATCTTCATTCACATCACCATAAAAGCTCTGATCTAGCCTTTACCACATAAGCATTCTAGATGACTGCTACTGCCTGAAAGAGTTGACTAAATATAAATAGCAAGAAGTTGGATAGTAGGTAATTATACTGCATTTGCTCAGCCCAAAATGTGTGGCAACCTGGTAGCAACAAGCTTTTCATATCAAGTTCCTACTCAAGTAGTCCATAGCAGTTATGTATTTTAAACGGCCATTACTATCTCTTTTTAGTCACAGAAAGCAGTTAATTTTGAGATATGCAGCACCTAAAGTGAGTGAATCCTGAGGCTGCTGGCAAATCTGTGAGCTTTTTACTTGGAAAAGGTAGTAAAATCACCAAAAGCCCTGCTTAATGCTGCAGCTATGATATACAGGCCAGGATCTAGTAACTTCTTTGTTTCCTGTATCACACAGCTCTGACCAGTCACACTCATGTTAGCAACTTACTTTTGCTGGCAGCACTACCAGGTGCATCACTTCCCAGCTCCATCACACCTGGATCAAAGAAAACCATTAGGACAGTGCAGAAACAAAGACACAAAGAGTAAATCCAAATCAGGTGCCTGCAGTCAGATAGAGCTAATTACAGACCTCCATGATTGAAGTCAAGGCAGTCACATCTCATCACACAGGCAGCTCACACTGTCAGCCCTGTGCAGCCCTGCTATAGGACTAGGCTGATATGGGCAAGAGGGCAAATACCTAAATAGCGCCATCAGAGCAAGTTCTGGAGCCCACAGTGACAAGTTTAGCACACACCAGCCTGTCAAGACTGGGCTCCAGCCTGCAGTTTCCCTTTCAACTATCCTCCTGTTTTGGCTGAGATGCAAGCCACAGCCAATGGGCCCCTTGCCCTTTTGCCCCAGCTGACAAGCAGTTAAGTATTTAACTTGGGCCTGTGCTGAAATCCTAATACTTAGGAAATTCAAACAAGAACTTACCTCACAATGAGAAACATCTGGAAGCCTGCAAAAAGAAATTTGCTATTAGGCAGAGTCCAGCAGGAAGTAATAGCATTAAGAACAGTTTAAGTAAAATACTGTATCAGAGTTTGTCAAGTTTTATCCTCATGGGGATCAGAGACCTGATTCAACATCATTTACAGTAGGCTGCAACACTCCCATCCCCTTCTGAAGGCAGGCTGTAAAACTATTTTCCAGCACTCTTCAACACCGAGATGTTTATTCAACTGCAGGGTGTGCTGAAATTGCACGAAGGAGCAAACTTTGCAACTGCAGAGTTCAGTGACGTGAGTTTTGTGTAACTAAATTGTGCATATTAAGGAAAGCCACTTTGGACACTAAATTCACAGTAACGTGGCATTCACCACTTAAGTTTTAACAGGAGAATTCTAGAGATCACTAACACCACAGTTATTTCATGCTCTTAACTGTGGCATACAGGAAGCTAAAGGCACACTTATGGTACTAACCTTCACCTCACGCTTTTAAGAACAAAATTAATTTGCAAGCACCTCTAAAAAGCAAACTCACATGTAGCACAGACAAAAGTAGCATCCACCTAAAACATGAAAGCTAGTTAATTACCTTTAATTAGGAAAGCCTTGTCTTCACCGACATCAGTAACAGGTGAAATAGTTTCTCACCCAAGAGGCATGAGGCTCCTTCTGTCCAGGGCAGCCTACAAAGCAACAAGACTTTTACAACCAGAGCACTAACACCTGATTAATTTTATTCTGCTACATTTCGTGCTCAACTTCACAACCACATCCAACTCTTAATCCTTCTATTCATCTTACTACATCTTCTTATGTTTAACCCACTTACCAGTCTTCTGAGAAAAAATTTTAAAACACATTCATGGAGCAAAAAGAAGTGTTTCAGCTTCCCACATTATTTATTTGAAATTGCCTAAGCTACTGGAGGCTGCATCAGATAGGAGGCGAAAGACAGTAATTTTGATCACCACAGATCATCTGCTGAACTATGCAGTCATCACAGCAGCCTTTCCAGACAGCAGGGATAAATTGAGTTTTCACAAATGTCAGCAATGCAGTACTTACCTTGTAACAGCTTATAGTTTAATCTCCCAGCATCTGCAACAATAGAAAACAAAATTAGATCCCTTCAGCCTTTGAGCCCAAGCCCATAGCTCCTACTGCGAGACCACAAGAGCCAGATACGTCAGATAGGGGCAAAGACAGAAGTATTCATCAAAGGATATTCTGCTGAACTATGCCATCATCATTGTATCTGCCTTGCAATCACAGTACCAAGCAATCACCTCCTGTGACTGCTTTGACAAGTAAATTTTCCCCAAAACAAAATAAATATTTTAAAGTTTGAATACTAGCATATAAGTTGTTTCTGGTCTTAGTGGATATTAATAATAAAACACATCTCATTCTCCTTACTGCAGTGTTTTAACAGATTGCACTGTTGTTGCAACTGATTACATTTTATGTTAAGTACATACTTCTTACCTTGTTAGGTGATGTTCCTTCTGCATATATTTGAAGTGCAGGATTCAAATCCTAAAAGTAAAAAAAACCTTGTCAACAGTATATTCAGCAGTCAAAAGCATCAAGGGGAATTTTATGTTGCTGTGCCTCAGAAAACTGTAATGGTGGTAAAAGTGCTCATCACTCTCTTGGTCAAGAGTAGCAAATAAGTGTCATCACTGTGGCACCAGAGGGATAGCTTTGCTCAAGGAATTAAGCTGTTTTATGATATCAGAGCAGAAGATGCTGCCTACACAACTCCTAAGCACTATTTTATATTTAATTTCCAAGTTGTTTTTTTTACCTTGGGAAGAAGTAGCTTTAAGTCTCCACATTGGGCAGCAGATCTGGAAGAGATAAAAGCGTTGGAGATGTCTGCAGAATTGGGGAGCTTCTCTGGCAATCACAGAAAAGCCTCAGCATTGAGTTTTCAGAAATCACTTCTGACCACTACTCTTATATTGAAACCATCACAGGCTTTGATATTTACTCAATATCAATCCCCATAGTTACCACCCATTTTCTACAACATACTCCAGGCAGTTTTCCCAAAACATTTATTTATTGCTGTTAACAAAGAAACAACAGTAATGAAGGAAAAAAAGGGATCTGGGGGTACTCTCACAGTCTGGTTCAGTATGAGCAGTAATCCATAAAAAGGAACCTCATAAACATTCTCCAGGACAAACAAACAGGTCACTTTTCCCAGTAGAGAAGTAAGGCCAGCCCAAGACAGTGCAGGCAATGCCTGAATTACAACTGCTGATACTGTAACTCCTGATACAACAGTACTCCAGTCTACCTGATGTACACAAATCCAACATTCGTTAATTTTAACTATTTAAGAAGCAACATTTACCTGCACTGAAGCCACAAGAAGGAAGAGTGTAGCTGATACATGCTGAACTAAAAACAAGAAAACATATTAGTTTTTTTTCTTCCAAAAACAATGCAATATTGACAAATACTACTTGGAAAAACCCAAGCAACATCAAACACACTTAAGATTTCCTCTGATGCAATCTAAATTTCAGCTCTTTGTATAATCGAGGCCACAAAAACTAATTGTTATTATGAGGTTTTAAGCAGGATATGATCACTGGACTACTTCAAAAGTATTCCATGCTCAGCTCAGATATGTTGGCATTCATCAACCTCTCAGATGTCCCTACCAACATAGCTCTCATCATGTGCAGAGCATATGGAAATGAAGTGAGCCATTTCTCTTTATGTGTGCTGAATTAGGACTTAAAAGGACCACGGAGTCCAACTAAGACTTGTATAGGACTACTGCCAAGAGTCACCACACGCTCCTGAGAGCACTAAATGTCTCTCGAGGCCTAGCGGCCTTGGGGCTGTGAAGCCAGTCCTTAACCCTTCCACACTGCCTGCATATCCCCGCTGTGCGGGGATTCTTAATCCTGCCATAACGCTATTACTGCTTTTTGCCCAATATTTCCCATTTATCTGCAAAAACAAGCTCCTTAAAGCCCAATGCAGTTAAAAAAAATCCAAATTCACAAAAACCGGAGACCTATTGTACTTACAGCGGGCATGTGACCTTGACACAGCCCACGACCATATCTAACACGCCACAGGCTTGTAAGGCAGGGCCCCGTAACTCAACACCTGAGCTCTCCCAAACCCCCATGAGGTTCAATAGGGCCGCCCTTACACATCCCCAGGGCCACCATGAGGCAGAGCCAGCGGCGGTCTAGGCCGCGGACCAGGCCCGGCCGCGCAATCCACTTCAATCCTCCCTCGCCGCCTCCCATCGGCGACCGACCCGCACCCGCGGGGCTCCAAGACCACCCCCCGGAGCGGTCCCACCGCAGCCCAAGCGTGGAATCGCCCCCCACTCACCGGCGAGGCCGCACTGGAGACACAGCACCCCCGGCGCCGCAGAGCCCGAAAAGAGAGATGGCCTCGCGCCGGTCCCTTATATAGCGCAGGTCACGTGGTGCAGACGTGGCCACACCCACAGGGTGTGCTGTCCAGGGAGGGGCGGGGCGGGGGCGTACGGTCCGCACGGCGTTTCCTTCCGGGGCGCGGCCCGCGCTGGCGCGTTTCGGTTCCGGGCCGGCGCTGCGGGCCCTTCCCACCCCCGGCAGGTGAGGCTGGGCCGGGAGGGGCGGGCGAAGCCGCGCGGGGCCCCGGGGGCGCGGAGGGGCGGAGGCGCGGCCGCCGCCCCGCGGGGCCAAGGGCGGGAGGGCGGGGGCTGGGGGAGGTTGGCCCCGCCCGCCCCGCGCACCCCCGGTCCGGGGCCGCGGCGCGGCTGTCACGGGTGAGAAGGGGCTGCGGGCCCCGCTGGAGGAGGGTCCGGGAGCGATGGGGCCGGGAGACACCAGGCTCTGTGAACCGGGTCCTGCGGGCGGGGTGGGGACGGGAGAGAAGTCACCGCCGCTCGTCTCAGTTCAGAGTTATGTTTGGTTTTATAGTTTTGGAGTCCCGTTGGAATGTGCAAGTAGCCAGATAGGTTTATTGGGAAGAAATTGTTTCCTGTGAGGATGGTGGGGCCCTGGCACAGAGAAGCTGTGGCTGCCCCTGGATCCCTGGAAGTGTCCAAGACCGGGTTGGACGGGGCTTGGAGCAAGCTGGAATAGTGGAAGGTGTCCCTGCCCGTAGCTTTAAGGTCCCTTCTAACCTAAACCATTCTGGGATACTAGATAGCTCTCTCTGGGATCAGGGACAGGACCCGTGAAACGGCTGCAGTTGTGTCAGGGGAGGTTTAGTCTGGCTATCAGGAAAAGGTTCTTCCCCCGGAGGGTGCTGGGCACTGCCCAGGCTCCCCAGGGAATGGTCACAGCCCCAAGGCTGCCAGAGCTCCAGAAGCGTTTGGATAAAATGTCTCAGACACAGGGTGAGGTTGTTGGAGTGTCCGTGGAGGACCAGGAGTTGGACTCAGTCGTCCCTGTGGGTCTCTTCCAGCTCAGGATATTCTGTGATTCTGTGAAGTTGCCCAGTCACAGTAAATCTCTAGCCAAAAGTGGAGAGTTTTCAGTGCAGCTTCCAGGGTGACATCATCAGCTGAGTGGTCTGTCTCTGCTTCTTACCTGATGGATCAAGAATTCCACCCGCTCCTGGTAGTTGCCTCACAGGCTGGAAGGCGTTTGCTGAGATAAGTAAAGTCTGAGTCTCAGCTGGTGACACTTCAAATTCCATTAAAAACGGCAGTGTCTCAGTGTGTGCTTTGTGCTGCCTCAGCTCAGTCTGCAGGTAAAGGTGAGTAGAGGTGATGGACTTCCCAGAGAAGAGAGAAATCAGGATGTCATTGCCATGTGGCTGAGGTGCAGAAGCTGACGGGAGGTTCCCTTAGAGGGGCAGAAATCAGTTTCTGACAGGGTAGTTTGAACCAAAAGACAGATTCCCTCACACCAGCCTCTGAGTGGATCATAACATGCAGGTTCCCTGATACTGAGGTGAGCAGAGCTCTGTGGGTTATAAAGAGTAGACGGATTTTCCCTGCCTTTGGAGTAGGAGCTCACAGATAATTTGTTGGGCTCTCTGGAGAGCAGCTGCCTTCTGACCACAGCTATACCCAGCCATGCTCAGCAGTTAAGGTCTGATGGGTTGTTTTTCCCCTTCTCTTTCTGTGTATCCCAAGCTCAGCCTCTGCCTCCCTCTTGCCTCCCTGGGTGCTCATGGCCTTGGCAAGGGTGTTTCACCCTTGCCTTCCTTGAGAGTGTACTCTGAGGCTTATTGTTTTAGGAAGAGCTGTTTTGGGAAGATGGTGAGGTAATCCTGCTGCAAGATCCTCCAGCAAAACCAAGAATGACAAAGCTTGATGTTCATAAATGCACTTGGGAGAACCCAATTCCTTTGCACTTCAGTTTTTCTTTCTTTTTACCTCCTAAAGGGGAAGGGGGCAGCAAGTTTTCTTCTCATTACATCAGAAGAAAAAGAAAGAAGGCAGCACCCCCATTTCCTTCCCACTGCATGTAACTCACAGCACGCCAGGTAAGATGTTGGGTTTTTGTATTTCCCTTTGTTCTGTGCAGTTAATGGTCTGCTCCCAATCCTGCGTTGACACAGACCTGTACACTGTGGTTTCCTGATTTTTGTGGGATTTGTTGCTTTCTCCAAAAGATAGGGAAGGACATGGAGCTGTTGGGGCGAGTCCACAGGAGGCACCAACATGATCAGAGAGATGGAGAAGCTCTGCTGTGAGGAAAGGCTGAGAGAATTGGGGTGGTTCAGCCTGGAGAAGATTCAGGGTGACCTAATTGTGGCCTTGCAGTGCCTGAGGGAGCTGACAGGAAAGACAGAGAGAGACTGTTTGCAAGGGATAGAGTGACAGGACAAGGGGGAATGGCTTCCCACTGCCAGAGAGTAGGTTTATACTGGATATTGGGAAGCAATTGTTACCTGTGAAGGTAGTGAGGTCCTGGATGCCTGGAAGTGTCCAAGGCCAGGTTGGATGGTGCTTGGAGCAACCTGGGATAGTGGAAGGTGTCCCTGCCTGTGGCAGGGGGTGGAACAGGATGAGCTTTAAGGTCCCTTCTAACACAAACCATTCTGTGATTCTGTGATAGGAGAAGGAGAGAAGAAGCCCTAAGACTTGGCACTGTTCAGGTGCACCTTGTGAAGCTTTGTACACTCCTATCTGACTTCCCCAGGGACACACAGCCATCCTGCCACTCAGAAATCCCTTGGCACAACTCCACAAGATTGACAGGCTGTCCTGCAGCTTCATGTTTAGTAACTGGGTTTGCCAAGTTTGCACAAAGCCTGCTCGGGCATATGGACGTGTGCTATGCTGCAATGTTCATAAATTCCAAATAAAAAGTACTCCAAAGGCAGACATGTGCCAATCCCTTCGATTTGGAGATTCCTCAGAGTGGGCACTATGAGTCTTGGTATTCCCAGCCTGTTTGAAGTGGTTTGGACATCTGCAGGATTCTGCTCAATCCACATTTCAGATGCTGTCCAGCTTGGAAGCTGCTTATGCCATGAGTGGACTTTAACAAGCTTATTTGCTTTGCTTTTTTTTTTCTTTTCTGGATGAGTTTACGTCTCATTTTCATTCATTCCAAATTTTTACCATATATGGTCAGGGCTTCTTTTCAAACTTTGCCAAAATGAAATGTGATGATGTGGTGGTGCATCCCTCACCCCCCCTCCCTGGCCCTGCTCTGAGATCTCCTGATAAGCCTCGGTGGACTGGGCTGAGTGGTGAAGGGTCCCCCGACTGCAGCAGCTGGGTGGTGAGGTGCTCCCTGAGCATACCAGGAGCTCTTGTGTGGTAGAGGTGGAAACAAGGGATGAGCCATGCATAGCCTGGGTAAACCATTTGCCTGGATTGCAGCCCAAGCAGAGCAGCACCATTGGGAATTGTAGCCTGAATGGAACAGCCCCATTCTTACATAGCTGGGAGAGAGTCCAGGAGTTACTGACTTAGGGTATGGCCAGGATGGGAACTTAGTGATGACCAATGTGAAGTGTCTTGGGACCCTACAGAGGTGATCATGAGTGAAGCCCTGTGAGCTCTCCTGAACCACGGCTTCTTCTTTCATTCTCCTGTTATGCATTTTCTGGCATGTGTCAGAAGTGCCACATATGATGGATATCTCAGGTTAACAAGGCACTTAAGATGCCTTGAGGTCAGATGCTGGCCAACTTCTCAAAGGTCTCTGGAGGATTTAGGTCCCAGTGTCTCCTTCCCAGTTCCTGTTTTACAAAGGGGCTTTCCCTATTACTTTCTCTTTTCAAGATCCATAGAAGGTACAAGTGGTGAGTATTTTAATCCATTATGCAATCAGGTGCCTATTTTTAATACCTGTGCCATTTTTAAAAGTTCTTCTTACATGCAGATGTGCTTTTATGGAGGCTGGCAGAACAAAGTGTTTTGCACGTTAAAGCTGCAGGGAATGGGGGTCTATCAGGGACTGGCTTAGCAGAATTCTTGTGCGGGGGGATGCACAGCATGGAGGGGTCAGAGAGCTTTTGTCATGCTTTTCTAAGCGATCTCAAACACACTCATTTGTGACAGAGCTGCAGCCAGGTGAGGAAGGTCTCTAAAAACTCCAGTGTTTCAAATTGTGTGGAAGCAGGTGAAGAATATTCTAATTTCAAATGATTGGCTCTGCTAATGACAGGATCTTTTCCCCGTTTTCCAGTAGAGGCGTGCACCTGCAGCTGGGACAGCCATGGAGAAGAGTGGGAACATTCAGCTGGAGATTCCCAACTTCAGTAACTCTGTCCTGAGCCACCTGAACCAGCTGCGCATGCAGGGTCGGCTGTGTGACATCGTGGTCAACGTGCAGGGCCAGGCTTTCCGTGCGCACAAGGTGGTGCTGGCTGCCAGCTCACCCTACTTCCGTGACCACATGTCCCTGAACGAGATGAGCACCGTGTCCATCTCTGTCATCAAGAACCCTTCTGTCTTCGAGCAGCTCCTCTCCTTCTGCTACACTGGCAGGATATGTCTGCAGCTGGCTGACATCATCAGTTACCTGACTGCTGCCAGTTTCTTGCAGATGCAGCACATCATAGACAAATGCACGCAGATACTCGAGGGGATTCATTTCAAAATTAACGTGGCGGAGGTGGAAGCGGAATTGAGCCAGACCAGGACGAAGCATCAGGAGAGACCTCCCGAGTCTCACCGGGCAACGCCAAATCTAAACCGTTCCCTGAGCCCACGTCACAACACACCCAAGGGGAGCCGCCTGGGCCAGGTTAGCACAGTGCTGGACATTCGGGAACTAAGCCCGCCCGAGGAGTCCACCAGCCCCCAAATCATCGAGCAGAGTTCCGATGTGGAGGGCAGGGAGCCCATCCTGCGGATTAACAGGGCAGGACAGTGGTACGTGGAGACGGGAATGGGAGAGCGCGGGGCACAGAACGACGAGGAAGTGCGGGTGCTGGGAGGAGTGCGCATTAAGACGGAAAACCTGGAGGAGTGGCTGGGGGCAGAGCACCAGCCCTCGGGAGAAGATGGGAGCAGCGCTGAGGAGGTCACGGCCATGGTGATCGACACCACGGGCCACGGATCGCTGGGCCAGGAGGCTTTTGCCTTAGGCTCCTCTGGAGCCAAAGTGGTCAGGCCAACCAGCAGTGAGATCGACAGGTGGGTTTTCTTAAACTTAATTATTCACCTTGGCTGTAAGAGGACGTTATGCAAGATTCTGACTTGGCTGGGTCAGTTGCTTTGGAACATTTCCTCTTTCTATTTCCTTTGGTCTTCTTAAGCATAAGAGTGAAAGGGTTTTTACCTGGTGTTAGGAAGAGTATATCCAGTTTGGGTAATAATATTTTGACTGGGTGTAGTGGTCAGACCAAGATCTCCAGGTACAGGCTAGCTTGGGAAATTACTTACTAGCTCTTAGAGGTTGGGATCTCTACCTCTCAGTGTTTCAGCTGAGGTGGGATTTTTTTTTAAGATGTTCAGTTCACCCTCAGTAGATACTGGACTCAGATTTTGGATTAATGAGGTCATATATAATATGTGTTACATCTTTCCATTGCACTGGTGCCTTCTGGCCCGAAGACCTAGGGATGGTTCTGGCTGAGAAACAAGCCAGACACCAGCTGTAGGTCAAGGTCTTCCCAGTGGTCCATGATAGCAGTGGGCCCTGGGTTTACATCTTCTGAGGCAGTTGAAATGAGGGACCCAGTGGCCTCCACTGTTGTTTTGATTTATATGAGAGAGCAGAAAGCCTTTGAATGAGTGGTGAAATCTGCTGTGTTTGGATTCTCCATCCATCTGCTTCCACTCCAGCATTTGCTTTCTTGCCCTAGGCTCACGACAGAGAATGGATTTGATAAAGGGCAGGTCTGTTTTATTTGGGGGGGTTGTAATTCTAGGGTTTCCCTTCACATTTACCTCTCTTCTAGCTTAATCCCATGGGGAAACAGCTACCTGGAAGCAGCAGATATTCTGTTACTTGTGCTTAATAAATCAATCAGTGGGAACAATCTTGAGCTGGCCTTTGGAGCACGATGCTTTCCTACTTCCTTAGCCCTTTTCCTTGGATCAGCTAGTCTCTAGCTTCTCTTTTTGCACTGCAGTCTGTATGCACTGTTTCCTACCTCTAGTCCATCACATCCTGTATATTTCACTCTGTGAAGGGAGGAGGAGGGTTCTGAAGGAGAGGTGTCCTCTGAGAAATGGTTTCTGTCCTGCTGTACAGTTCCTGAATCACCTGGCCCATATTGGTTTATTCATGATAGCAACCACTCTCTGTTGCTGAACTGGAAGCCAAATGACTTCGTTTTATTTTTTAGATGTTTAGACTGAAGCTGTAGACAGGTATGATTTGATTTTTCCTTTATACTTGCACTGTTCCACCTCCAGTGTGTTAGCTGATGAGGATGAAGAGATGCTATACAGGTGCCTCTATTGCTCACCTGTTGTTCTAAACACTGTAGTGATGTGCTGCCCATTAAAAATTCCATTGACACTCTTCCCCCACCCCACAGATTCAGCCCTTCTGGCAGCATGGTTGCTGTGACTGAGCGGTACAGGTCAAAAAGTGAGTCTCCTGGGAGGATGGATGAGCCTAAGCAGCCCAGTTCCCAGGTAGGCACATCAAGACTTTTGCAAGTAAATGTTGGCTTGAAGGTGAAGGGGACTTTGTTGTGATGAAGTGTATCATATTTTATATTTGCAAGCAATAATGTGTGGAATACAAGGACCTTTTACTTTGGCAAAGAATCTACTTGTTCACAGGAGAGCATGTGCTGGCCATGTATGATTTAAAAACTGATTCTGGCTGTTGTTTGGGATTTTGGCCAGATACTTGGAAAACACAAGGAGTTTCTCTTGTTGTTTGAGGGCATAAATACCCACCCTTACTCTGGGCAAGCCACCAACTCCTGAGGAGAAACCCCATTTGCCTGCAGAGCTGGATCTGCCCTCAAACACTGGCAGCAAATGCCTGAGCAGAGGGAGGAGGTGTGGCTTGGCTTCTGTAGAAGACGGGTGACAACAGCTGAACCTTTCTATGCCGGTACCAAGACCATTCCCAAAAGCCCTCCAGGAACTAACAGCAATAAATACCTTTTCAGATGGACTGTCAAAGAATGGTGGAATTTTAGAGAAGTCTGTGTCTCTTCTCCAAGTGGCTGTGTTGCACAGCAGACTTGGCAACATAAGGGAGCTCTGAATTCTCTGCTTTCTTGGGCACAGTTTTGGGGTAGGAGGGAGAGATGCACAGAAATGGGAGGGCAGTGGGCTGTAGAGTGCAGCAAAGTGGGACACAGCAGTAATGCCTGTGCCTTATCATTTTGGTCTAATTTCGTTGCTCAGTTAGTGTCACAGTGTCACTGTGGTGCAAGCGTGTCAGCCAACACAGTGCCTTGTGAGCCTGACAGGTTAGGAATGTGTCAGTGTGTAAGGAAAAGACTTGGCTGGAGGTGAGTAAGGAGATACTAGGCTGCTCTGCTCTTGAGTAAGACCAGGTGAAGCTAGGGTTTGAAAATTGTGATTTCTGTCTTGTGACTTCGTTAGAACACTTCCATAAAACAACAGATACCTTTTTGTTCCTGTTTTGCAAAGCTTTGTTTTGTATCCTCAGAAGACATTGCAAAAATTTCAGGTCAAACCAACCTTCTAGGGGAAATGTGACATATTAAGCAATTTTAGCTCTACCTACAGAAAAGCTGCTCTTACTTCTCCATTGTGAGAGCCTCAAACATGAAACTTTGGGCTTTACACATCATGGGGAAGTATCATCACCTTCCACTTTCCTGGCATTGCGATATCCATACTGAAATAGCCTGCCCGTGATCCCTGCCCACTGCTAGTGGTAGAGTGGAAAGGAAGAACCAGGAGTATCTCCTGGTGTATCTCCTTTAGTGCTCAGCAGCTTCCCTATGCCTGTACAGCTGGATTGAGCAGCACCTGGCACAGGTACACTGCTGCTCATGCCCGTAGAGCCCTGGCTTGCAGAGGAGATGCTCTCCTGCTGTTACACTGGCTGTTTCTCCACATTTGGCACCACTGGGATGCAGCACTGGGGGAGTAAACAGTGTGTCTCCAGCACAGAAGCGTTCTGGAGTCTGTGTGTTTCTGCTCAAGCTGAACACAATGGCCAGAATGTCTGTCCTGAGACCAGGCTTGTGGTTCAAGTTGTCCTTGGGTGTTTGTGTGTGTGACTTCAGAAAACAGAGGAGTCCTTGCTGTGCATCTGGGTCAGGCACATCCTTGCCTCCGATGCCACGGGGCTGGGCTGGATTACACAGCCAGGCAGGCAAATGTGACTCATTATAAAATGAACTCTAAGTGACACCTGAATAAATACCTGTGTAAAATGACACCTGAAGACTTTCAGATATGATTTGTGGTTTGCTTCTCCTTTGTTTTACTGCAAGCTCATCAATCAGCTTATTTTTTTTTATTTTTAGTGAGGAAAACAGGTGATACTCCCAAGTGTTTTAATAAAACTGGCACAAATTTTTTAAAAAGTAACAAGTATTGACATATGGTCCACAACTGAATTGGTGGCCAAGTGCCCTTGTGTCAAGGGCTGTCTTTTCTTCACCAGATCCAGGGAATGGCTTGGCAGAAGGGGCCTCTGCAGCAGTGGTTTCTAATTGATTGCCCTTTTGTCTTCAGCCCCAAGGCCCCGTTTAAGCACTTAAATGTGTGCTTGAGGTTGCAGACATTAGCGCTGCTGATTTTGAGGTTTGGCACATGCTTTACTGGCTGGACCTGGGCCTGATCTTCTCTGCAACTTGTTTTAGGCTGCTTGTTATTTAAATCTATGCCGTTTCCTTGGCAGGGGGAGGAGTCAGCCATGCTCGGAGTGAGCGGTTATGTGGAGTATCTGCGGGAGCAGGAGGTTTCAGAGCGCTGGTTCCGGTACAACCCACGGCTCACGTGTATTTACTGCGCCAAATCCTTCAACCAGAAAGGCAGCCTGGACCGGCACATGCGGCTCCACATGGGCATCACACCTTTTGTGTGCCGCATGTGTGGCAAGAAGTACACCCGCAAGGATCAGCTGGAATATCACATCCGCAAGCACACAGGCAACAAGCCCTTCCACTGCCACGTTTGCGGCAAAAGCTTCCCTTTCCAGGCCATCCTCAACCAGCACTTTCGCAAGAACCACCCCGGCTGTTTGCCCCTGGAAGGGCCCCACAGCATCTCCCCTGAGACCACTGTCACGTCCCGGGGGCAGGCAGAGGAGGAATCTCCTCCGCAGGAAGAGGCTGTGGCAGTGGGGGAGACGGCACAGGGATCTGTGTCCACAACCGGGCCGGATTGAAACGCGGCTGTGGAGTCCCAGGAGAAAGGACCGTCTTCCCATTCCTGGCTCTAAAGAGTCAGCACCAACCCGGCAGGCTGGTACTGTAATTAGTGCAATGCCACCACTGAACAGAAAGAAGCTCCCAAGATGTTGCCAAAATAGAAAAATTTCTCTCTTTCCCTCTCTTCCTCTCACACACCCACACACACACCCATAGAGTGTTAAATGTTTTTCTCCCTTACTCTTCCTCCTCTTGGAGAAAAACAGAACAACTGTGTCAATCAACTTCTTATTCAGGGATCGACAGGATTTTAAATTTTTTTACTGTTCTGTAGTGATCTGGGACAAGCAGTCATTTGTATTTCTGGACAGCGCTGTGGCCCAGCAGGGCGTCCCGCCGGCAGTGCCGGATCCAGCCACAGAGCCATATCCACTGCTCCCGCTCGAGGGGAGAGCAGGGGCAAGGGGCCGTTGCCTTTCTCCCTTCCCCAGGTAGTTGCCACAGCAAAGGAAACAAAAACACTGTCCTGGTGGAGCCTGCCTTGCCCGAGTGTATTTATCCCCGTCTTAATTTTTGGTGTGTTTCTTTACTTTTTTATTTAAACTGTTATTTTAGGGCTTTGGGCTTGCCCATTCCAGGCATGCAGCCCTGGTGCCCCTTGTTAAAGTGGGCACAGCTACAAAGTGGTATTCCAGAGGTCAGCAAAGTGTGAAGGAAGTACTTCAGCGACTGAGAATGGAATTTAGCAGCTGTAAGGTTTGCATGAGACTCTGATGCATTGGGAGAAGGCCTGGAGGGGTCTTCCAGAGGCGGTTGTCCTCTGCTGGTGCTGATCTGGGGAGCTCAGAGCACCCTGAGGTCCTGGCTGGAGAGCTGCCACGCTTCAGGTGTTGCCAAGGATTAGGAAGAGATTTTCTGGAGTTGCTGAATTGTGGAGTTAGAGGCTGGCTACCAAAGTCCTCTTTCACCCCTGCTCCCCCCTCGACACACACTTGATCTTTTAGAACAGCAATATGGGATATGGAAATACTGCAGTGCTGTTGTCACAGCCGAGCAATCGCAGGTGGTTGCTTTTAAACCTGTTTCTACAAACTAGTTTGATAACTTTTTTATCAATGAAATGCAAAATGAAAAGAGAACCCTTCTCTATTTCCTTATAACAGTTCAGGAGACTTACAAATGAATGGTTCCTAGAGCAATCACAACTCTGTCCCCTTGCATGGACTTAACATTTTTGTATTCTGAGTAGCTCTGATGTTTAGAGCAAGTTTAGCAAACCTGGAGAGACATGCCTGCGTGTGTATTGTAGGTGTTTGCACGGGCTTATGTGGTTCATAACCAGAAAAGCATGGGACAGGCAGAAAAGTGCAAATATCCTGACATCTTTCTTTTAAAAAATATGCAATATTTTCAGAGTTTTCTCTAGTTCTGATGCCAAGTTATTCCTGAAGAAAGGGGGGGAATGAACGACAGGTTGTGCTTATCAGGTTTGGTGAAGGAGTTCTCTTGTGGACATATAATGTGTATATGATAAGGAAGGGTGAAGTTCTGAACCTTAAGGTGATGGGAGGAACAAAGAGACATTAGAAAAGAAATACACTTCATCTTGCTTCAGCAAGAAGGCTGGATGAGTGATTAGAGTGGGGGCTTAGCTGGCAGGAGACTGACCAAGTGACAGTAAAGCCTGACCTGCTGTCTGACTGCAGTTTTGGGCACATGGAAACATCTCCAGCCCTTGCTTTCCCCATCTGCAAATTGGTACTAGGGATCATTTTCTTGCCCCTTTGGAGGGAATAATTTGGAGAAGGGTGATGTATTCTTGCCTTGCTTTATAGATTTTTTTATATGTGAGGGGTCTCACTGTTCCTCCTATCTCTCTCAAAAAGTGATGTGGCTCTAATGTGTTTTTGTGTGTGGGAAAGGGCTCGGTGCCAGTATCGCTTGTAACAGGGATGTGATCCTACAAGAGGAACCTTTGCAGGTGTTCTGAGCTGGGCATCTGCAAAGTACCATTTCATTGACCATTTCAAACAGGAAAACTGGTATTTCACCTCCGTTTTCCTTCTGTGCCTTCTTCCTCCTCTCCTGTCAAGGGCATCCATCACACAGGGAGTGATTTGGCCACCCAAACAACCAGCTCCGTCAGGTTTCCTGGCAAAGGTCAAACGTCACGGTACCAAAACAGTGAGGTTGCCAGAGAGCAGTGGCAGAGGATGAGGTGAAAGGATGGCCAAGGTAGGTTTTGTTGCAATCAAGGTGCAGGGAGGGGTGGAGATGTGCTGCTTTAGTCATAGCTTTTGAAGTTACCAAAAATGAAAAAAAAAAAAAAAAGTTAAAAACTTTGAAATCCTATCCTGTTCACACTAGAGAGCATAAAAAGTTACTTTTAGTTGCTTAAAAGATTTTTAAGTGTTTTAAAATAGAAATTTTAAAAGAATACTACCAAACTATAAAAACATAAAATTATTTATATACATATATTATATAAAAATATAGTGGGAAAGTTTCCCTGCTAAGCTTGCTGTGAAGAGAAGGGTGAAGGTGCAGTAACTGCTACACAGGCAACATTTTTCTGAGACAGATGGCAACCGTAGTGAAGAAGGGCTGACATAAAATGGTGAATGCCTTTGTTCCCATGGCATAGCTGTGAGTTTCTTGAGCAGGTTTTATTTTACTGTATCAATACTGTGAACGGAGGAGCATCCAAACAGTACTGGATGCCAACAGTGCATCCTGTTTGCTGATTCACTACTTCAAGTGGCCTGGTGAAAACCATGAAATTAGTCCTTCATACCTTACTAGGCTGAAAACAAAGCTTGTGAAAGGTTTTTATTTTTTCCTCCTTTATATTTGCTTTTGTTTTTGGTTGTTTTTGTTTTTTTTTTTTTGTGCAGAGGTTGCCACTGTATAAATGATCATTTCTGATTGCATGCAAAAGAGCCAATATTCTTGCCCAGGCCTCGCTGAGGTGAAGTTTATAGCTTGTAGCTAGAGTCAGTATAAGGTATGGTAGTGGGAATCATTTTGATATTATTTCTGTACATTTAATGGATGTGTATGTATGTGTGGGAATCATGATGTCTAATATTTCTTGAACAGTGCTGAAACCAGTTCAGGCCCATCTGCACTAGACAGTGGAACCAGTTCTGAAGGAACCGTTATTAAACATTTCTTTCAATGGTTGACTTCCTGGGTGCAGATGAGACCAAGGTTTGAGAAAAAAGGGGTTGGAGGTCCTACACGATATGGAAAAACCTCATGTGAATTTTCTGGCAGTGGTGTAGCTACTTAGAGGTGCTTTCCCTAACAGTATGACACTGTGTCCTGTTGCCTCTGCGTTGGTGTGGCTCTTCACGGTTGCACCAAAGCTGTGGAGAATCAGATGCCAACTTTCCAAGTGTGAATGCTTCTGTGATGGCTTGAGGCACAGCTTTGCATTCCCACGTCTGGCTGCATCTTATTCTGCCAAAACTGTGATTTCAACTGTGATTTAAGGAGGATGTGAAGAGAACTCTCGTGTTTTAATACCTCTGTACGTAACATTTTTGTCTGCTTTAGAGTTAGGGCTTACTAACCCATTTGTTTTCTTGCCTCAGGCAACACGGAGAACACACTCTGGTTTTACAGTTTGCTTTCTTGGAGGTGGACATATTTCTTATTTCGTTGCTATCAAAGAGCTCACCTCCCAAATGTGAAGAGTTGTGGTTATCTCCTTAAGCCTGCAGCAAGCCCTGGTGCCAAGTGTCAGCCAAGTGACATGATGGTTGCTGCAGCTGTTCCCTGCTGCTGCCACGTTCCCTGTGAATAGCTGTGAAAATAGCAAGAATTGTGTTAATACTGTGTTGCTGCTTTGGAGAAAAGCTAAACCTCTTTGTCTCAGGAGGATGACTGATGTGAAGCTGGGAAAAGGAGAAGGCCAAAATGCAATGAGAGGATGTGAAAACAAATTGTGCTTTGTGTTTCCAGGAGCTAGAGAGGGATGAATGAGAGGCTTTATGAAATGTGAATTTGTTACAGGAGGCTGAGAACATGCTTGGAGCTAACTCAGTAAGATCCAGGGATAGCCTGGTGAGAGCCAGAGCAGTTGGTGCAAATGGGCAGTCCCTCCTTGTCCTCTCAGCATTATCCACCATCAGGTTCAGTCCTTGGACTTTCCTACATCTTCTCTACAATATTCTCAAGCTGTGATTTGTATAATGTAACTTTAGTTTGGGTGCTGGGAAGAACAGAAAGCATGTTGTGTCTCTGCTGCTGTTTTAAACCCAGAGAGGTTGGCAGCAACTGACCCCGTTCCCATGTGACAGCTATCCAGAGCTGGAACAGCATTGGGAACTAGCTGTAGCCCTGCTGAAAAGCATCGTGGGGCTGGCTCAGCAGAGAGGGCATGAAGCCAGAATTTCAGCCCTCTGTGAGCTCAAGTTTGAAATATATGGACAGGACAGCTATCCCTGCTTGTCCTGCTCTCATTTTCTGACAGCTCTGTGGCTGTTTCCATCCCACACCTCTGCATAGGAATGTCACTTAACTGTGAGATGCCCATTTCACGAGGTGATTCCAAGCAGCCTGGTTTTGTAGTAGAGTACTTGGCACTTTTGGGTGATTCAGCCTTAACAAGGCCTTTGTGAGAGCAGAGTTGTAGCTTTTATTTGCTGCTGACTTCATCTCTCCTGCAGAATCCAACATATAAATAAGAAGACAGCTGCAAAGGTGCCGTTGATTTGGGTGGAAGGTGCCTGGGAGGTAGATAGGATCGTGCATCTTGAAAAACAACAAAAAACAGTATTTAAAATTATTTAAACTTTACCAACCTCTCCTCTTTGATCCGTGACATGCCTGCCAATACAGCCGTGCCAGCATCCAAATGTTTCTGAAGATTAGTGACATCAAATGCTGTTCAGGCTCTGCTGGAAATATTTTGGGGATGGGAAAAGTCCCTGCTCATGGCAGGACAGTTGGACTAGATAACCTCTAAAGGTCCCTTCCAACCCATACTATTCTATAAGTCAAGAAGCTGTAATTCAAGGAGACTTTTTGCCAAGGTCTGGGCTCTGAGTTTTCCCTGGGAGCTGAGCCTGTGGCCAGGACTGCAGTTGGAAAGCCTGGGATCCACTGCCATAGCAAAGTAATTGTGAGTGTTGCTCCTGTCACAAGGTGAGAGCCACACACAGAGTTTTGATATCTGCAGTTAAAAGGCCCAAAGAGCTCAGAATCCTTATTTTAATCGCTGTCATTCAAAGGATTTTTTTATATAAAATACATATATACCTGTGTATGTATATATATATATGTTTGTAACCAAATAGAAGTTAGAACTATGCAAACCATACTGGCTGCTTTTTGAAACTAAACTAAAGTCTACCAGAACATTTTGGAATTGAGTAGATTTGGAGTAGACTTGCTGTAGGGTTCTTGTTTTGTTTTGTTTTATAATCAGTAAAATGCAGCAGACCAAAGTTTTGCTGCAGTTACTAGAAATTTAGGTTATTTCTAACCTGGAACCCACTTAAGTGGGTTATAAAATTATCTGAAGAGTCCTACCATCTCTAAAATATTTCCATCTGCTGAAAGGCTTTGGCTTGGCAAGCATAGGAGAACACAGAGGCTGGGAATTAGGAGAGATTGAATGTAATGTTTGGGCTGATGGAATCAAGGAAAGACTGGGAGCATGTTCTTTTGGATTAGGATTGAATTGGTTTCAAGGAATCTACCTACTTGGGAAATGATCATTGCTGAGATGAAGGCAATGGTCAGAACATCCCTGGGATGAATTCTGGTTTTGATGGATGTATTGGAAAGCTTCCTGCTGAATCTGATGGTACCAGATTTTAGGCTGCTGGGAGAAATTCCACATGGTTTCTGCCATTTCTTTGTGTCAGATCTGATCTTTGCTTTTAGGATTAACTGCAGTATATCTGTAACTTTCAGTGACCTTTGGCTTTTTATTCCTGGAACTGTAGACAATTCAGGTTTCCCATAACATTATCCTCATCCCAACTGTGAACAAGTTACTACTGCTTCTTATAATTTATTGTCTTTCTGTTCCTGAATGTCTGTGTGATCCAGCTGGTCGCCAGCACCACCTTCCAGTGCTTCATTAGCTTTTATGCACAGGGAATTGTTGCAATGGATAAGTTGACCATGCTAGTTGGAAGAGTAGAAGCCTTTGGAGAATGACTTTTGCTTCCTCTAGCTGTCATTAGGGAGTGCACACACACATACCTGTATATACATATATAGAAACAAATATAATGTGTTTCAATATAAACTCATTTAGCATTTTCTTATTTAATTTATATTTTAATCTAGTTGTAAACCAAAGTATTACAGTTTGTGATGTCTCTCGGAAATAGGAGGAACCTTTTTTAGGTGGGAATTTTGAAAGGTCTTTGGTGACAAAAACATGGATATGAGTAAGACTTAAAGACTTGTGCTGCTAGGGAGTTGCAGCCTTGAAAGGATTTGAAACTTGTTGGATGGTGGGGCCTTCTGAAGGTGTTCTTCACAGTCCTTAACAGTTTTGTTGTAAAACAAGCATGTTCTGGCAAAGCTAGAAATAAAAAGGGAGAAAACAGAAAATCAGATTGTGATCTGGCAGAGCTGGGAGCTGGGGAGGAAGCCACAAAACCAGCCACTGGTGTATTTAGTGTCTAATTTAAAGTTTTAGGAAACGAGCCATTGCTATTTAGTGATGTCTAGAAGTAGCTGGGGTTTTGTTAATAACTTCTGTGAAGGCATGTTCTGCTGTCACCAATGGGAAGAAATAATGGGTTCAGAGATAAGATCTTGCTGATTTTTCTGTGCCAGGGAGTAATTACCTTTCTGAGGAATTAGCAAGTTCTAAGAATAAATTCACCTCTAACATGTCCCACAGGCTTGGCAGTGGCTCTGCTTCCTCTAGGGAGAAGGAAGACAGCTGAAATAAGAAGAGAGCTTAGCTGTTTTCAGCTCTGGCTGGCACTGGTGGCACTGGAGCCACACAGGGGGATGTGTAGAAAGGTGGAAACAGCAGCAAAGCATCATTGGAAAGGGGTAGTGCATGTATCTGGCATGCCATGGATGCTGTGGGCAGGGAAATGCTGGGTTTAGAACCTGCAGGAGGGCAGGAGCATGCAGGAAATGCTGCTGCCTCGTGAGGCAGGTGTCCAAAGATGCCTATCCTGGCACATGACAGCTGAGCAGCACCAGTGTTTTCCATGCTGGAGCTGTGAATAGTAAAGAAGGAAAAGGGCTCAGTCCCAAATCTGTGGGGGCAGATTTGCTGTGAGCATTTCAAAAACTCCATTGGAAGGAACTGAAGGGTGGGAAGTGAAGGGTGGAAAGGGCAGTACCAGACTTCAAAGTGCCATTTTCCGAGTTTTCTAGCAAGTGTTGAAGACAGAAGTTTGTTTTTGTTTCAGTGCTTTCTCCTTTACCTATATCATTTCTCCTATTTCAACTCCACAGCTCAGGGGAGGGTGCAGAGAAGATGGAGGAAGACCCTTCCTGGAGGCACATGGTGGAAGGAGGAGCAGCAGTAGGCAGCAGTTTATACAAGGGAAAATCAGGTTAGGTATGATAAGATATTGCCTCACCATGAGTACAGTCAAACAGCATTGGATCAGGTTGTCCAGGGAGGCTGGGAAATCTCCATCATGGGAGAGTGCAGCCTCCAAGTTCCTGTTTCCATTAGACTGTGCCAAGCTGTATTTTTGTTATATTTTTTTGTTTTGTTTTGTTTTATTATGTAAAATGGGCAGCTGTACTGGCCTTCCTAGTTCATATCACTTAAGCTTTTGAAACATGTTCAGGTATTTTTAAATACTGCTGTGTATTTTCCTTGTTTAATCTGACATATTCTGATTTATTATTTTACTGCAGTTACCTAAGGCAGTACTTAAAAAAATCAGTGCATTCATTTTTTTTTTGCAGACTTTCAGCTTAGTTTTTGATAATGTACCTAACACCCTTCCCCTCAGATCTATGGTGAAATGGCTGCATTGTTTTTATACTGCAGTGAGGTTTATTTATTTAAACCTTCCCATTACCTTTGCAGTGAGACCCAATACCATTGGCTATGAAACTGTGAAACTAATGAGAAATGAAAAATGAAGTTGGATTGACTAATTTATGGCTGGTCGTAAAATACAGAAAGTGGCAGTATAAAAAGATAAAATACAATTGAAATTAGTTACTCAAATCACAGAATCACACAATGGTTTGGGTTGGAAGGGACCTTTAAGCTCATTTATTCCAACCCCCCTGCCATGGGCAGGGATGTCTTCTGCTAGAATTCCAATAGATAGTACTGAGTCTGGGGCAGGGGGAGAAGTCACAAAACTAGTCTGAGAGAAACAAATTTTAACTTGATGATGCCAATTAATTGGTTCCCCATTTGGTCAAGTTTTAAAAGGTGTTTCTTGAGGTTTCCCTGGCTCTGTTTGTTTGTCTATGTGTCTTGGGCATTGGTTTGATACGGGGGTTTGTGCCTCCGAGAGTATTTTCTGAGAGTTTACATGTCTAAAGAAACTCTCTGAATTACTGTGAAGCTTTTCTTGAATCCTTCCTTGCCTGTGCATTGGCAACTGAACACAGCTCTTGCCTGTAAGAGGCCAGTGAGAGGAGGGTGGCAGCTGTGGGTGACACTAACAAGAAGTGGACAGTGCAATTCTCGGGCTGACAGATTGGATTTCAGGAAGGGCCATGGAGCCCCAGCCCCTCTGGCTGTCCCCAGCGTGTTCTTTCAGTGATGTTTGTTTGCAGAGGCTGTTTACAGGGCTGCCTGGATCCCCACCAGAGATGCAGGGAAGGAGGGTGTAGTTGGCATGTAGGCACTTTTCTGATGTCTTAGAAGATTTCCTAAGCCAAGGTTGTGCTGTGGGGGGAAGCATCCCAGGTGGGATTGAGAGTAGAATTTTGTCATACTCTTTGCCTAAGACTAATTCCTTGGGCTCTCCTAAGGCACTGGCCTGGACAGAAAACTGACACCAGACAGCTTCCAGGGCTGAGGTGTCATGGGGCAAGTGCTGCTAAGAAATATTGGGAAGGGAGAGAGGAGTGTTGTTCAAATAAGATGTGGTCCTTTTGTGTTGGTGGGTAACATGGCTGACATTTAGGACAGGCAAGAGCAATCCTGGGTGGTAAAACAGACTTTTCTGAATAAGGTCTTTTAGAAGCTGAATGAGGAGGAGAATAACATGCAGCTGTGTGTTCTTGCAGTAACATATTCCTCACCTCGTGCCCCACACTTGCAGGGAGAATTAGCGAAGGATGAGAAGACTGGATGAGATATTAATTCATGGAAATGGAAGCAAGTATTCAAAGCACTGCTTTAGTCTGAAAAGGGAAGGGAATCAATGCAGTTTTGCCAAGCCTCTAGTGTGTTAAACACTAACTGAAGCTCCCGTGAGCTGTAGCCCCGTTGTCCCCAGAGCTCCCCTCGTTTCCCTGGTGTCACCCCACCTTTCCTGCACAACACTGTGAATATGATATCTGTAGCTCTTTTGAAAACTTTGGTCTTTTCCATTAAAACTGCTCAGAGCAGGAAATGCTGTCCTATTGCAGGAGCAGGTGGGATGTGACCCCCAAACAGGGCATGGATAGCTGAGTAGTGGGAGAGAAAATTTTAAGAGTTAACAAGGGAAGTAGCTTTGTATAGCAATTTGCTAATCAAATTTCATCTTGTCACGAACTTAACTGACAATCAATTTCTAAAATACAAAAGCCTCTTAGAGGAAATAGTCAAGTATATCTTCACCAGAAAGATTTAACTGGGATGACTTAAAAAAGAGCACAGGATTATTTTTTTCTTTTCTTTTTTTTTTTTTTTTTTTTTTTTTAGCAATCACTCCAGAAATGGAGTCACATTAAGCAGCAGTGTATTCACAGGACAGTAACTACCTCTCTCTCTTGGAGTGCTGAGGTTACCACACTACACACTCTAGCAGCAAAGCTTTCACTTTAAAGATATTTGTTTTTCTTACCTCTGTGTTTCAGAAATGCAAGTCTGCTCTGTAAAGTGACTCTAATGAAAATGGCATCTGGCAGGAGCAACGGGAGTCCCTCGGGGTCCACAGTCCTTCTCGGCCTCCAGTTCCTTACTGTGATCCTTTGCAGGTTTCCCATGGGGCTGTGACAGTTCAGGGGGACTTTGTCACCTCCTGTGTGCTGTGTGACAGTGAACTGTCTCCTGGGCCAGAGCTGTGAGACCACATTCCTGCACTGGGAAATCAGTTAATGGTGGGGAAGGTAAAAGGAGAATCCATCTCCCTCCTGCCTCCAAGGTAGCAGGCAGCAGTAAAAAAAAATAAAACGAAAAAAAGCAATAAGATAAAATACAAACACTTTTATATGTTGTTCATTAGTCAGCAGATCTGACTCTGCAAATTTATATATATATATATATATATATACACACATACAGAGAGTGAATCTCTCATGTGAAAAGGTGCCATTTTTTTTTCCTAAACAGAGTCCCTTTCCAAACTAGAACAGCACTTTAAATAGGTTCCTCTTAAAAAAAAAAAAAATTAAAAAAAAAAAAGAATTAAAAAGCAAACCCTTTTCTGCCGCAATGCACTTTAACTCTCCAGACGAGTACAGCTGTGGCTGGTTGGGACACAGCTGTACGGGCAGGCAGCTCCTGGGCAGCCCCAGCTCGGGGGGAGCAATGCTGCCAGGGCTTTGGGCATGGCAGCTCTACCTCCAGCAGCCCCCCGGGCCGACACGGCCCCCACGCTGCCCGGAGCAGCCCCGCCGTGCCCGGGCGCTGATGGGGCTGGTGGCTGTCAGGAGACTTGTTCATCTGTCAAGAGAAACCCACCCTTGCCTGTCAAGAAGATTTAAACCCCGTTTTTTAACAGGTCAGAAGTTGCACCCAGTTACAACCCAGCTGGCGGCCCAGGGCTGAGCTAAGCTGAACAGCAAAGCCAGGAGAAAGCTGTTACTGGGGTTTGTGGGGTTTTTCCATAACATGAATGTGGAGCCCTCGTCAGTTCTGTTTGTTTGGTTTTTTTTTTTCTTTTTTAATCCAAGTTTGTGTGTCCCACATTGATTCTGCTCTGAGCTGGTTTGCAGAGTAACCATAACAGAAATTGTGCTGTCACCTTCAACTAGTGACCTATAAATCAAACCTTTTTAGGACAGGTGTCCTAACACTCAAGACTTACTTTCATAGTTAAGAGATTTCCTGCTGTACTAATTATTCTTTTTTTATTATTTTATTTTATTTTTGATTGCAGTCCTTATTTCAAGAAAAAAAAAAAAGTCAGTGTTCAGACTAGTCTGGAGTAGGCTGAAGAGTAAGCCTGCTGTAACTTGTGGATATCAGATTGTTCTTCAGTGATTTTCCAAGCTGTTTCCAAACTGGTCCTCCATAACTGCTTCCCTTTTCCAGCAGGCACTGGCAAACAGAAGCTCCATGGCCATTGTGTCCAGGGACAGCCAACACTGCTGGAGGGAGGTGGGCAGGGGTGGCAGGGGAACCAGAGTTGGGAAAGGGGGAAGTAAAACCAAGGTAGAAGGGACTGTACAATTGCATTGAAAGCAGTTTAGCAAAAAGCGCTCTTGTTGGACAGCTTTAAGAACAATGTGAATGAAAACTTAGCAACTTGGGTAAGAATCTTGGAAAATTCTATAAATGTATACTTGAAATTCTGTTTGTATTAAAAAAACCAACATTTTCTTCTTTCTTTTAGCACTGTGTAAAAGAACATTATGCATGTGAGTGGTATGAGAATTAAATGGTTTAATACTCAGATCCCTGTCTGTGTCTTATAGCTGACTGGTCCTTACTCAACATGGATTTTCTTCCTGGTCCCAGCTGTGGGCAGCTCCCCTGTCCTAAGCTGAGCAGCTTGAGAGAGGTTGTACAGTGCCAGGCTGCTGTTCCTGGCAACTCAGATGGCTTCTGTCTTTTTTGGATGAGTTTTGTCTTAGCTCTTCAGGAGGCTCAACCCTTTTCAGTCTCCCCAGGAGGAACAAGCCCTGAGCTCTTGCTGCAAGCCAAGTTTTGGATGTTTTCCCATCTGCCTATGGCAGGGAAGCATTCTGTTTCAGTGCCATGCTAGGGAGAGCCAGGCACTTCCTCAGCCCTCCTCTTTCACCAGTGTCCACCTCCACAGCCTGGAGCACAACTGGAAAAGGCAGAGATTACAGGAGGTTGTGTGTCTCTCAGTGACATTTACAGGCAGAAGATGGGATCCAGCAAGAAAAGCCACAGTGATAACTGCCAGAGGAGGACAGGGAGTGGGAGAGCTGCTTTCTGAACTCTTTTTATTTTCAAAATGCTTCCCCTTTTCTCCCAGGGTCCCAGCCTGTCACAGCTTCTTTCCAAGGTACTGCTCCAGGGGAGCATGTACCTAAGGGAGCCCCTAAAGGACACCTCAGAGAGGTGTATGGTTTGCCGTAGCCCATGGGACAATGGAGGAGGTGGCTCTCCGTGTCCCAGTCACACACTACTTGCACAGATGCTCAAACATTCCTACTAGGAAAAGGAAAGAGTCAGACCTCTAATAGCTTCCAAAACTAGAGACACAGCGATCAAAGATCTGACATAGCAGCTCTGTACAAGGTAAGCTACTCACTGCTTGGCTGCTCTGGCAATTCCTGCCAACAGAAGCCTTTACTAAGGTGGATATTTTGTGCAACCCACTGTCTGCACACACCATTTCCATCACTTCCTGAGGACAGGAACTGTGCTTTCACTGTCTGTTTGGTTTGAACAGCTATTGAAATGGAGAAATCGTCTGCATCTTCAGGACAGCCCTGCCAAAGATCCTACAGCAGTACAGCCAGCCTGAGAGGACAAGAGGTCTGATCACGTGTGGCCTGGCAGCAGGCCAGGACACCTCAGATCCTGGAGTAAATTTGCAGGTGAAATAATATATTTTTAACACAGCTACAGGTACTGGTTACCTTACCTGGGCACTGTCATGGTTCATGGGCACTGCTGCTACAATAACTGTTATATGAAATCTTAACCTTAAAAAAGTTTCAAAGCCTTGGCTATGGAAGACTGTCGCTGTGCCTCTCAGTGCTGGGGCACACAGGACACACCAGAGCTGCTGGCAAGCAGGGCACAGAGGTTTGGCAGCTCTTCCACCTGCATGGAGCTGCAGAAGGGTGTTCCTAGCCCAGCCAGCACAAGCCTTGTGGCTGCTTCTGTTCCACTCACCTTTCTGGTATGGGGCCCCATTTGTTAGAAAAGAATTTTTAAGAAGTCTAGTAAGTGGCTTAGTGTAAACTGTGCATTCAGAGAGCAGTCTATTACATACAGATCTATAGGTTTTAATGAACCAAGCCATCAGAGTTACAGAGGGTTGGGCACAGGAAGGACAGCAATGCTGGACTTGGGTGCCACAAAAATACTGGTGCCAGATGAAATTCAGCTTTCCTTGCCACAGAGGACAGGACAGGACAGGTGAGGTGACCTATGAGTCCCCTCACCTGATATGGCAGGGAAAAGCAGGGGCAGCCCAGCTGAGTGCAGTCCCTCCCTGCAGCTGGCACCAAACAGCAAGACCAACCACCCTAGGAGCAGCCCATGCTTTGTGGCAATACCCCACCTCCCCTTTTCCCAAGGCAGAGGAGGGAGAAGTGAGGCCCTACCAGCCCCTTTAGGAGCAAGGATCAGCTATCCTGCCCATGAAGATGATGGTGTTGAGGGCAGCTTCCCGGATGAAAAGCAGGAAGGGCCTGTTGGCATTGAAAATTTTTCTGTTCATAGGGAAGGAACGGCCAGAGATGGTGACAGCTGTAGCAGCTGAGGCCTCGCTGCCTTCTTCATTCACCTGCCAACCAAGGGAGAAGATGGGATTAAAATACAGCATCGTGCAGCATGGAGAGGGCTCACCCTCCTCCTCTACAGAAAGCAGGGGCCAGCCTCCTTCCAAAGCCCCAGGCTGCTGAGAAGTGAACTGTAGATTCAGAGCTATTATTTTCCCTTTAATACTTGTTTTTAAAAAGCACTTGTTACAAATATCAACATTAAGTTTTAATTTTCCTATCCTTAAAAGACTTTTTAAAAAAATAATTAAGTCTTTAAGAGGAAGACATGCTGGCATAAAACAAGGCTCACCTCAAGGAAGGCTTTGTGGAAAGCCTCAGACACGTACAGGTCTGTGCGACCCTCTGCAACGATACCTGAAATACAAAATTATGCAAAGGTCAAAGCGTGAGTCTAGACACAGCTCAAGACAGAACACATTCCCATCCTTTATCACCTGGGATCAGGCAGAAGGTATGGCTGTCCTAAAACAAAAAACCTCCTCCTCCATGTGCAACTGACTGCTAAACTGCCATGTCCTCAGCGCAGAGCAGGGCTGAGTGTCCATGGTGGGACTTGGCCAGAGAGTCCTTCACTGACTGCAGCAACCTACAAATGCTTTCATGTTCTCATTCCTCATGTGCTGCACCTACTGCCCTGCCATGTAGGGAGAAATGGCTGTCCCTCACCCCTACCCTGCACTGCCCTATCTCCACATCTCACCTGGGAGTCTGGCGTTTTCTGGACTGAAGAGATCCTCCAGCCCCATTTTCCTCAGCTTTTCCTTGACACTGAAGCTGTCCTCAACGCGGAAGCGAGGGAGGTACACAAAGAGGGACATCTCCTTCATGGAATCTATCCAGCCCTGCAGTTTCTCTGATGTCAGGTCTCTCTCCACCTCCTCCAGCCGTGTCCCAACACTGGGCAGGACCAGCACCATCGTGATATCATCTCCTTTGTAAGGCAGCTCCAGCACCTGGACTTTGTCCTGGGGGATGAGTGCGTAGTGGAACTTGGACTCCTGGTACATAGTTGGGACTTGGCAGGTCTCACCACTGGCTTTATGAAATACATCCAGTTTTGTGTTTGGAGCTGGGAACTGTGATTTCCAGTGCCCCTAAAAAGGAGAGGGGGAAAACAAATATGAGCACCATGTCTCCTTCCAGGGAAGTGTGCTGCTCCCCAGTTTTGTTAGCTGTACCTTAAAATAAATGGTGTTGACCAGGACCAAGACAGTGAGATCATCAATACCACTTTCTGGGATCACTTCTGTAATGCGCCTCTCTGTCTTATTAGCCACCCACTCATTAATGATCTGCCTGGAAAGTTCTGGCTTCTCCTAAAGGAAGAGACCAAAAAATGGTTAAGCCAAGTGTTTTAAAACACCTCTTTGTACCCCTTCTGCATGAGACAGGTTTACAGAGTATGTGCTGGGGGAGGACAATGAAGCTTAGGTATGATGAATGGGGACATGGCTGTGGTTAAGGTGAGCTGAAGCAAGAGGAGCTGCATCCCAGATTCTCTTGTTGCTTTCACTCGTGTCACACACACCCAGAGCAGAGCAGTTCTTCTGGGCAAAAGACAGGGATAGACTAGGGGTGTGGGGTGGAACCAAACAAAAAAAGCAAAACTCTGAGTGGTTCAAACTTACTTTGAAGTTCAAGGGCCAGAGTTTTGCTCCATAAACAATTTCACTGATGTTCTGGTAAGTCTCATTAAAGACCAAAGATTTCTCCCCAAAGAGACGGTTGGCTGACACCAGCTCTGAGGATTTGTTTGCTTTCCTGTAAAGGCGGCAGTTCAGCTTGGCAAAGAAGAAATGGATCTGATCCGATGTCTTCTCCGAAATGGTGTCAAATCGAAAGACCTGGACAAGCCAAACAACAACAAGGAATCCATGAGGAGGCTCTTGCACTCCTGGGCCCCAGAGGAAATGGTGG